TTCATCGAGCGTAGGACGCGCTACAAAACGGTCAGGTGTGAACCAGGCCTAAAAGTAGCCACCCTCCAGAAGGAAGGACAGTGTCAGCTCCAATTCAGAGATGATTTGAGGCTCTACAGCCGAGTGATACACAAATAAGATACATTTTTGTTAAAGGAGAACTATGGGGTCATGGCTTTTCCCCATAGTTCTCCTAGGGGTCACGGGAGAACACAAACTAGCGTTTTCCCGTGACCCAAAGCTCAGTAGCTGGTGGTATTCTGAGACGCCGCAGCCGGTACGGATCCTGACAATACTGCCTGGATCCACCCAGCTGCGGGATTGACAGCTGGCTCTGCCTACCCAGAGGCAGAGCCAGCTGTGCCCTCCCCTGCCCATTTCGCCAGTCAGCACTGGAGGATCGGGGAGGGGGAGAATCCCTGCAGGGAGCTGTGAGTGACAGTCACGGCCCTCTGCAGGGATAGATCGAGAAGTGAGCGAGCGACGGTATGCGTTCGCTCACTTCCCGATCTACAGAGCCGACCTGTGACAGTTTCATTGTCACAGGTCAGCTCAGATTATGAGGCTGAGTGGAAATCACTTGCCTCATAATTCTTCTTTAATAGTTAATGCAATTATAGGATTGAACTCCTGAGTTTAGTGTCACTTAATACCAGCTTGTGTAGCTTTGCATATAGCGACTGACATTTTTTTAAAAATAACTTGAATAATATTTACGCAATGTTTATGGGATCATTTATACTCCGGACTACTTAAGCTTTCTATGTTGTTTATCATTAATGGCTTTGAGCAAAATTGCGGGATGAATTTTATTGCTATGCAGTAACATCTGTAACAGCCACTGAAGAGGCTCTTTATATTTTATCTGGATGTGCTTTTTACACGTTTGGAATGTATTTCTAATTTTTGTGCTCTTGCTCTGGGTTTTTAAGCTCGAGTAGTACAGAAAAGGAGAGACGTGCTAAGTGAATATATTACTAATGACATTTACCCTAGCAGCAAAAATATTTTTGTATCTATGGATGTCAGGAATAATAATTTTAAGGTCATAGGAATGCACTTTAGGTTGGAACGGAGACTTAAATTATAACTCGGAAATGCACACGCAAACAAACACGACAATATACTCTTTATCTTTCTTTAGAGTACTCAACAGTTAAGGCAATTTTGTGTTCCCCTTTTTTATGATTTTATGGCAATTTGCCTGAGAGCAGGCAATGTGTGTGTGTGTCTTGTACATGGTGTCTCTCTCCTTCCTATGTATCTATGGCATTAAAACTGTATGTTGACTATTTTTAGAAGCTGTTCTGCGTAAGGACCAGGTTTGTTTTTCAGCAGAAAGATTTGTTTTCCAGGTTATGGGGATAAATAGCACTAGGCTGAGAGAAAAGTTGTTTTTCAGAAGCTGAAATGCTTTTAGTTAACGCGGCACAGAGACAGTTTGCAGATTGCAGCTGAATTGAGCGTAATCTAAACAAGACTTTCTGTTTTGTGCAGATGGGATTTTAAGTCCCATTTTCTGTGACGTCTGTACAAGGCCGTGACCTTTCCTGTGAGTGGGAGCTGTCATGGCAGATAATGAGTTAATAGACCTTGGGTAGTTACTGAAGCATGCATCTCACCTACATGGTACATAAAATTATATCTCGCATGTTTCATGTGGAAAAGAGAGATGCACCTGTCTCGGTGCTCGTTTAAATTAGGAGGGTTCATTAAAAAAAAAGACTTTGACATCAGGCATACAATGTTAAAGGTACACTCCAGCCATGATTTTGCATATGGTGGGTTTGCCATAGCCAGGCTCTCTCTCCAGTTTTCTGTGTGGCATGACAAGCATGCAGCAAGTAAAGTCAGAACTCCTGAACTCTGTGACTAGAATTGCAGCCAGAAGGTCGCTAGTACCTAGAGGGATTTTCCTTTTTATATCTACCCAGATAAAATTTTAATCCTCAAAAGAGAACTATGGGGTAACTGTTTTTCCCCATAGTTCTCTTTAGGGTCACGGGAGGACATATACTAACCTCCTCACATGACCCAAAGCTCAGTATATCGCAGGCTATTGTCTGTGAGATCCACCCAGCTGCGTGGGTGACAGCTGGCTCTACCTATCTAGAGGCAGAGCCAGCTGTGCCCGCCCCTCCCCCATCTGTTCCTTCACTTAGCGCTGGAGGATCGGAGAGGGGAGGGGATCCCAGCGGGGAGCCGTGACTGACAGTCACCGCCCTCTGCAGGGAGACGATCGGGAAGTGAGCAGATCGGTGCATGTTTCTGCTTACTTCCCAATCAATAGAGCCGACCTGTGACAGCTTCTTTGTCACACGTCGGCTCTAACTATGAGAATGAGTGGAAATCACTCACCTCATAGATCTCCTTTAAGCTATGGGAGCTTCTTTTTTTTGTTGTTGTTCCCCTGGCATGTTAAAATGCATATTTGTGGCCTGAAGATTACCTTAAATCCTTTTAGAGTGCTTCTGGGTACAATCACTTTTACCATACTAAATGATTTATTCATGGCTCTGGATTCACAGGAGGAAACACATTCTGTAACAATACATGAAGAAGGATTCCCAGAAAGAACACTATATTAGTTCGGAGCAATCAATACTGGAGGAACCATTGTTCTGGCTCATTCACGTGTGTGTAAATGTTAACTTCAGCTATTGGGCTCTGTAAACAGTTTTTGTTTTTTAATCAGGAGGTAAACTGAAACAGGTTATTCAATAGGAAGTCAGTTGTTCCACTTATTTGCCATCTGTGAAAATACAAAGCATTCATATTAAAATATTTACCTGCCTAAAATATATAAACTGGCTTGCAAATATTTGGAATCACCTGGAAAGTTTGATATTTTTTGATAGCAACTGATTAATTATGGAGGTGACATCAAATTGATTCGAAATTATAGTCCATACATCAACAATCTCATGTTCATTTTATTTTGTAGAAATGTTCTATTCATTAAACTTTACATTTATCAAATAATCTTCCATTTGCAATAATTACAGCCTTGCAGATCTTTTTAAGATTTAACTGAAGGCGACCGTGTAAAAAGGGCCTAAGGGTGAACTACTTCTGAAGGGGTGCACCCAGTGCAACTGTACTCATTAGAGCACTGAAATTGAACCCAACCCCTCCCATTCAGGAGGAGAGGACATGGTGAAACAAACAGCCTGCTGCTGGCAGGAGGAAGCACTTCCTCAGTCTCCCCTCCCCCAGTAATCAGTCTGCTGAAGGCAGCAGGAAGCATTTCCTCAGTCTCCCCTCCCTCTAAAAGCTAATAGTGGTCACCTGTCATACAATGTCACTGTCAATAAGGCTAGGTTCACACCTAGGCGATTTATTGCGCGCATTGTGTCGTGCAAAATAACGCGCAAAACACAGATTCACATTGAAGTCAATGCAGACAAAATCACCTGTCGCGTTCACTTATGAACAGCCAATAATAACCTTTGTGAAAACTGATTCTAACATGCTGATCCTGTAGCATGCCAGGTTCAGATGTCACTAAAGGCTTCTGATTGTTCCCAGAACGATCAGAAACCTGCAACTTTGTTTCAGCAATAGAAACATGTAGCTATATGTTTCTATGCTGAGGGTCGGTGCACACCTAGGCGACACCCCACCTGCACGGTCAGGAGTTGCCCATGTGTGCACCGATCGCGCTGTGGGTTCCATTATTTTCTAATGGCAATCCATTCGCACTGGGCGGATCTCACGGTTTCCTGCTGCGATTCCGCCCGTGCTTCTGAACGCGATAAAACAGCCGCCAGTCGTGTATCGCAGAAAAAAGGAACTTGTACTTGTAACTTGTATGGGGTGTTGCCTGGGTGTGCACCGGGCCTGAAACATTTCACGAAAATCCGGTAAATTTCCTGATCCCTATGTGTACAACTGTTAGACAATGATTCCAAGTCCGGTACAAACATGAGTCCTAAAAGTGATTTGGGTGTCTGTAAAAGCTTCAAACTTTCATTATTGGCTGCTTCAATACTGAGGCATCCCTTAATAAATGGTAACTTCTCAGTGGTCACCGGGAATTCACAACCCCACAAAGCTATTCACGTACAGTGTACGTGAGCAGTCATTTGGACAAATAGTGACGGGGACGTACAGTGTTTGTCTCCCGTCACTAAGGGGTTAAAAAGAACGATTGTATGGAATAAATGGCAAGGGTACTTTACTGAACAAGATGACTGCTGGTCTGTGAGACTGACATGGATTCATCCAAGTACAATACTAAATAAAATGCCAAATAATGCTCATCATTTAACTTATTTTTTTGTTAAATTATCTCTATACACTTAACAGTTTTACATTCTTCCCGCTCTGATTTCCTTTGCAGCTCTCGGCAGTCGGTTACATAAGGCTTAATGAGAGGCCCCACACGTATTGCTATGATCATTCATTCGATCATTTAAGTTCACTGCCGGTTTTATCTTATTGACTTCCATATTTCTAATTAGAAGAAAGACAAGCTTTTTCAGGTTTTGAGCATCTCCATTGCCTTTATGCTTTTCAGTTGCTAAACGGCCCCCCTTTGCTATTTTATGTAATCACATGCATTTTTTTTTGTCCTTCAGTGCAAATGGAGCTTCCACTTCATTATAGCACTAACAATAAACCAATTCCATTGTAAACATTAAACCAGTTAAATTGAACTATTATTAATGGAACACTATACACATTATTCATGGGGATGATTTACAAACACAATTTGAGCCGTGAATGAAAAAAAGGTTAAGAACCCCTATTCTTTTTAATGTCTGATGCAGAAAGCGTGACCATTTATCTCCGTGGCGATATAGAAGACTTTTTCAAAATGTCCTTGATTGTTTTTATGTTAAATTATTTTTTACGGTTTAGTTATATGGCAAGAACTTCTATAGCATGATGTCATCAATTAGAAAAGTACCGTATTTTTCGCTCCTTAAGATGCTTTTTCCCCCCCAGAAGGCGGGCAAAAATGTCTGTGCGTCTTATGAAGCGAATATTGCCCACAGGTCTCGACAATCTCCTGCGCCAGCAGCTCTACCACCTACGCTATCACACATACACCACACGCGTCCAGCGGCTCCCGCAGGCTGATGTGTGTGAGAGCTGAGGCGGCGGGGCTGACAGTACCGGTAATCATTCGCATGAGCGATGGGAGGGTAGGGGCCGCTTGTACTACTTATAGAGCCAGCAAAGCAGCGTTATTTACCTGTTCCATAATGCCTGTGCTGCCGCTGTCTAACTTCTGTGTCTGACCGGCTTCTCACCTTCCTGTGTCATGCCACATGACAGGGAAAGGGAGGAGTCACAGTATGCAGAAGTTAGACACAGGCAACATGGGCAGCGGCATTGTGGAGGCGGTAAATAAAGTTGTTTCACTGCCTCTATAAGTAGATTTTTACCTCTAAACCTGCATCTTATGGTCAGGTGTGTCTTATGGAGCGAAAAATACGGTAAGTCTTTAACAAACCTTTAGTAACAGCTTTGGGTTGAGCATTCATTGTGAGTGTCCTTGCATAACATTCACTTGTGCCCCAGCAGATTACTTTGTCAGTAAGAAAGAAATAGCTTATACAGTTCTTGTATTTGTGGTGCCCGGGAGCCCTAGCTGCTGCATTTTTCCGTCCATAGGCTTGTATGGACAGAGTACGCTGTGCGCAGGTACACATGTGTAAATACAAGTACCAACCTTTACATGTGGGAACTTACTCTTGTGTATGTATAAACGTTGGTACCGGCATTTACACACATATACCTGCAAATAGTGTATTTGTCTATACAAGCACATGGGCAGAAAAATACAGCAGCTGGGGCTCCTGGACAACGCAAGTACGAGCACATTTTTGTGATGGTAAGCTCAGAGTACCTGTCAGGGTTTACCGTTCTCCTCCAGCCAGGATTTCCAGAAGATCTCACAGGGTCCAGGCCATTATGGATCTCACAGGGTCCAGGCCATTATGGCTAGTTAATAGTAAAAGATTCCAGGCCGGTGCTTCCAGTGTACCCTGAATCTGGGCATGTCATCTGTGACTCAGAAGGGTATTTAAGCACTAGCTCTGCAAGGAGCTGGTGCTGTCTTTTTGCCAGCTTCCTGTTTGTCTAAAGAGCTTATACTTCTGCTGTTTTCGTTGCTGACCGCCCGACCCTTCTTCACTTGCTGCCCGCCGTGATCTTCTGCCCGGACCCAACTTTGCTCTTATTTCCTTTGTTTTTCCTCTGATTACCCATTGCTGACCTGGGACCGTCTGACCACACTCTGCTAGCCGCCTGCCTTGAACTCTGCCTCGATCTGACTACTGTCTCCTCATTGGAGCCCTCCTGTTCTTGTCCATCCCTTTGCTGGGCAACTCTGGGGATCGCGACCTGGTACCAGCAAGCAGCCTAGCCCATCTACACCATCGGGAGCTCTGGTGAACATCGGCTGGTAGTTAGACTCCGCCCCTCAGGGAAGCCCGTTTCACTCTAACAATTTGCACTGAATACCCATGCATGAGCCCTTAATGGCTTTCAATTAACAAAATAAAATTCATTCACACTGAGCGTTTTGTAGCGTGATTGCCGCTCAAAAATTTCTCAAATATGAAGCTCAATGTAGCTCTTCCAATGCTTTTCAATGGAGATGTTCACATCTTGCAGTTCAATGTCGCCTGTAGCTTGTAACTGAAGCTTGTTGCTCGAACATGAGCTATTTTTTGGCAGATTCCGAGCGATTTGGCCACAATAGACTTTGATAGACTGCCAAAAGAAGTGCTACGTAGCGCAACAAAATGTGCAATGTTGATCAGCTCAAATCAGCGCTGAAAAAGCTTGTAGCTCAGTGTGAATGGGGTCTGAGTTGTAAGAAACTCATAAGGAGCTGATAAGACACATCTGTAGTCTTGAGGCTAAGATATCATTAGTCAGCCCTTAAGTTTTGTGTTCTATATTTGCATTTTCAGTTTGGGAATGTAGCAATGCAGATTCTATCAATTAAGATTTAAATGTATATATTTGTGTGATAATGTCTGAGTATATATTGGTCTAAAAGACAGCCATTTCCTTAAAGGAGTCCTAAAGTCACAGCACATCCTCTCCTGTTATAACATCAGCTTTGTAGTAGGAATGCATACTAGAGTTGCTTTTGATAATTAAATCAAAGCTTACATGAAAAAATCCAAGGCAACCGAGTGTTTGGCTTGGGCGGGGGGTTGTTCTTGAGACAAATGGGAATTGCTTTACATTTTTACAATGCACTTATTTATTTTTTACACGAATAACCAGAATGTAAAACCCAGCCTTAGTTGTGCAGAAAAATAAATAGAAGTCGACATTTGCTTGTATATCACAAGGATCGTGAAAGATATTGAATGGCAAACTTGACACACTATGAAAAACAAGGAAAGTATCCTGGGTGCTAAGCTGTATCACGCCTTTAATGCTTCAAGTGTATGTGAACCCAGACAATGGACTTCTCATTTGCTACCTTTTAATCCGTGAAATATACTATTGAAAATGTTTTGTGATATATGATAGATAAGTGCAAACAAAAATACATGTTGGCCCTGTCAGAAATCCAGGGCTGTCCTTCGCCACTCTGCAGTCTTATCTCAGGGAATGATATCAGCCCTGCACAGTTTAGCTCTGTGGACTACAGGACACCACGCTCTTAAAGTGACATTAAACTCAGGAGTTAAATCTTAAAAATGCATCAAAGTACCTTCACTATCAACAAAAATGTATCGTATTTGTGTATCACTCGGCTGTAGATCCTCCAATCATCTCTGAATTGGTGCCGACACTGTCCTTCCTTCTGGATGGTGGCTACTTCTGTTCCATATGGTCCCTGTGTGTGTTGTAAAGTAGTCACCACTCCAAGCTCACTCCTGTGATGGACTACAATCTAGTAATCTAAACATGAGATTGTAGTCCATCACGGGAGAGGTGACTACTTTACAACACACACAGGGACCATGGGGAACACAAGTATCCCCCCTCCAGAAGGAAGGACAGTGTCAGCGCCAATTCAGAGACGATTTGAGGATCTACAGCCGATTGATGCAAAAATAAGCTACTTTTTTGTTAAACTGACATTAAAAGCTAATTCCTCCCCCCCCAATGCTGCTGTAAGGACTTACCTTATATGATGCCTCTTGAGCCGAACATCTTCTTCCTTCCAGTCGTTTTCAGCAGTCCCACCAGCACTGGTGCTGGTCTCAGATCCAGCTCAGACTGCTGTTTCTTCTGTCTTTCGGAGTCTGTCCGGCATGCATGCATGCTCATGGCTGCGTACACTGACTTTCACTGTAGCTCTCCTCTCCCTGCAGGTGAAATCCACTGCGCATGCGTCCGCCCAATCCTACTGCATGGCCATTCGGGAATGTTGCTGCATCTATAAGGAAAGAAATATGCAGATCTCCATCTAAAACCTCCGATTTTATAGGACAGATACAGCCTAAAATATAGAACCATCTATCAAATGTGTGCACATTCATCAATGTAATACGGAGAACCCATTACATCAGTAAAGGAGGATTTGGAAAGCTGTTAGAAATAGTCATGCAGTCATTTTATTTTTATTTTCTTCAGAAGAGTCAACGCTGACTCAATGAATTTATTGCACAACAAATCCACAGGGAAAAGTCATGTCAAGGGTAACCTTACCTAACCATCTTGTTTGTTAAATATTACATATAAAGATGTTTCTGCCAATTGATTTAACACTTGCTCCTGCCTCCATATCATAGCAGGTCATGTCGCTTTGATTTCTCAACTTAAAGAGAAAAAAAATGCACACCAACATCTAGGCCACGAGGATACTCCCAACTGGCTCGAGTGCACATTTCTACTAACTGCAGTTAGCAACAACCATGTCATAAAAACAGGGGTGGTGAACGCTGTAGACACCTCGAAAGCAGCATATCTGATTCACATGGAATAGTGAACATTTTACAAAAATTCATCTATGAGCTGCACTAAGTTGGTGCTTTTATTAGCTTCAAATGGGTTTTCCATTCCCATACAAGTCTATGGGTGTGCAAAACCCCTTTAAGTAACAGTTGGAAGGACAACTGCAGGTCCAATGCATCTGTTGAATTCTGAATGATCTCCAGTGTCTCAAACTCATGCCACTGACACAATCCCAAACCACATCGCCCTAAAAAAATGTAGTAAGTCACATGCTCCCCTATACCCTAAAGGTGTTTCTTCACTCCTGGTGGCTGAACAGAGCGGCAGGAGACAAAGGAAAGGGCTGTATGTGCTGCTGGAGAATGAGGAGTGTTAAAGTGAACTTGTCCCTTTCCTTAAAGCATAACAGTTCGAGGGAAAGCCCTGGGAGCACTTGCTATGTGCAAGCATGCAAATTTTTTGGCAGTCTTATCCCCTGTTTGCACTCCTACAGTGCGGAAAGGTCCAGGCAACGCGTTGCTTCCACCACTTTGTCCGGACCAGCATCTTCTATCTTGAGCCATTGGGCAGTCACTGATGATGCGCTAAGCATGAACGATGGAGTTAAATCATCCAGACGTCTTGCTTTGCATTTTACAGATGCAAGGCGTGTACATAGCACTGTGAATGTGCTGCCCAAAGTCTACCAAAAAAATGTTAGCAGATAAGTAAAGGTTTTTTTTGGGGGGGGTAGAAACGACATACATTCTTTTACCAAAAAAAAAAACCTCTTCCTGCTGGCTATTTTTTCCTACTTTAGTTCCTCTTTAAAGTGTAGTTCCACTTTTGCAGTCAAAAGAAAGTGAGAAAATTCCACTATATGTCCGTGTTCCTATTCACACAGCATATCTAAAAATATATTTTTTTAATTATATTATTAAGCTGTGTCTTTGTTGAAGGCCTTTATGCCGATTTGAAGCTACTCTGAGCAGTTTGAGAGTGAAAATATAGTGTCAGACTGAGCTTCCTCTCACAATGCCTCGAAGGCTTTAACCCTTTGTTAGGACAGACAGTGTTCAAATCTAGTTTACAACTGGTAATGAGATCTGCCAGCACAGTACAGACAGGGTTATAGTAAACATTGACCTTTTTAGCTCTGTCTTTGGTTAAAGCCTTTATGCAGATTCCAGGCTACTCTGAGCAGCTTGAGAGTAAAACTATAGTGTCAGACTGAGCTTCCTCTCA